CACCCCCCCCAAGAGTGCTCAGGTCTGCCAGCCACCCGTCCTGCTCCCTACACTTTTCTGGGCTTCCAACCCTGCCTGCCACCTGTGCAGACTGCTCGGGGAGGGGTCAGCCTTCACAGAAAGCCTCAGCCATGGAACCATCACCCTAAAACGACGGGCACAGTTTTTGCTGGGAGTCAGATCATACTGACAGAAGTCGACCTTCCACACAGGGATGGCTTCAACACCAACAAACCAAGTTCCTGAGCAACCACTGTTCAAGTGCAATGCTCTGGTCAAGGGGATTCTGAGGGAGGAGCCAGGGCAGGAGGACGGCAGGGCAAGGATACTGTGCAGGACAGCTGGGTGAGACGGGAGAGGCACACTGCTTGTTGAGGGGCCTACATCACGACCCCACCTTGCAGAAGGGGTGGCCAAGGCAGAGGTGGTGACACTGAGCAATGGGAGGCTAGGCTCCTCACACCATGGAGGATGCTGCTCCTCCAACACCTTCACCTGAGGCACTACTCCACCTGCAGGGCTGCAAGTCTGCCATGGTGCTTGTGCCTCCCCTCTGCCGGATGCTCTGGGGATGGGGTGCACTCAAGCATAACCCCCGAGCTCTCCAGGCTGCTGTGCTGTCCTCGCCGATCCAACCCTGGCGCTTGGGCTGCTCTGCCTCTCACCTTGGGTCCCGGAGGAGCTGGGAGGGCTGGTGTGACAATTCTCAGGGTGGTGCTCTCTCAGCAGGCCAAAGCTGGCTGGCTCAGCCCATCCTCAAATACAAAAGCAGGCCAGGGCTGGGACACGGTGCAGGCTCCTCCATCTCGCTTGGCAGCACGGACACTTGGAGCGGGACAAGGCCACACGTGTGCAGGGAAAGGGAGCCGGCCCGGGCACTGTGACACGCTGAACGGCGTCCCTGGACACCCCTTCCCCCACCCCGCCGGTGCCAGGAGCCCCCTACTTCCTGACAACCACAGGTGTGTCCCCGGGAAGGTTCAGCATGAACTCCAGGCGAGACACTGCTTTGCTGACACTAAGCAGAGAACCCTAAAAATGCAAAAAAAAAACGAGCTCTGGAGGCAGGTATATCCTTATTCAAATGGCCCAAGCCTGGATCTGGGCAAGAAGGCCAATCTAGAAAGCTCCCCAGGTGCTTCAAGAGGGGCCACCAGGTGTGGGAACCAGAAGCACGGGGCAGGCCTCGCATCTCGCTGGGGTTTCTGCAACCTCGACAGAAAGACCCAGCTCCCAAGAAGAGCAGGGTTACAAGCACAGGAAGGACAGACCACGTCCCAGGCTGGGAGGAGGCACAGCAAGCCTGTTGATGCAGGACTAGGGGCGTCACCACATACACGACCCATCTCCTTTGACTTTCCAGCGTTTTCCTGTGTGTTTAAAATGAACATTACTCTGAGTCCCCAAAAAAGCACTCTGAACAGAGATGACTTAGCTGGGATGGGACACTGCCTCTGAAGACAGGGGCTGCACGACCCACTGAATCTGGACCGCCCTCGTCCTGGCGTAAGAAAGGGATTCATGCTGCTCTGAAAACCCGCAGCACCTTTCCTCCACTCCCTCTTCACAGAAAAGTCAAGAACAATGGAACCACCCACCGGATGGCAGTGCAGGCTCCTCCCCTGGGAGGTGGCAAGCCTGGGTCCCCTGAGCCTGGTGCCCAGCTCCCTTGGCTGAGCTGCACTTGTGCACACAGCTCCCCAGGAGTGGTGGGGAGGTGAGACTGATGACCAGGGGTCTTTTCCGGGGTGCTCCTGCCCCCAGGGAACACTGGGTGAAGTCTGGGGGCACCTGTGCTTATTAAGACTGGGGGACTCCTGGCATCAAAGAGGTGGGGCCAGGGAGGCTGCTCCACCCTGCACAGAGCCCAGGATGTGCCCCCCCACGGCCCCCCACCAGTTTCTGGTATTCTTCTTGGCTCCACTCTCTCCCGACGAAGTCAGAGGACCTTGACAAGCCTGATCCAAGACCACACCTGGCGGCAAGCTAGGGAAGCCCTGGGGTCAAGTACCCAGCCAGACCTTCAGATACACAGGCGACAATGCTCTCTGCTGGGCTTTCTCTCCCAGCAAAGGGAGGAAAGGGTGTGTATGGCTCACTCAGGAAGAGAAAGCACCAGACAGAGGAAGACTTTGCTTCTGTCTCTGAGCACGGCCATCAGGGCAGTGGGGAGTCATGCCCTCGTGAATCCTGCTGGCCCCCAGCCCATGGGGAAGGCAGCGAAGGGCTACTGCCCCTTCGGAAGCACGCACTTCTCTGGCTGCACCCTCCCTTCCCACCTGACTCCTGGCCCTTAGCTTCCCTTAAGAAGCAAGGCTTGCGCTCAGAACACCAGACCACAAGGGTCCCCCAGGGACCTCACAAGGGTCCCCCATGTGAGACCCAGGGGAGCTGCCACCACCACCAGCTGGGGCCACCCTGCCTTCCAGCACGAGCCAGGGCTTCCTCCGGCCAGTCTTCGGGAGATTTCAGTGCTCAGGCCCTCCTGCAGGATGGGTGAGGCCCTTCCCCAAGTCTCACTGCTGCCTCTCAGCCTCAGGACACAGCACTGAGCCCGCACGTGACGGGCACCCAGGTGCCCAGCAGCAGGAAGTGAGGCAGCAAGGGCCTGACCGCACTGATCTGACCCCATGAGGCGCACTTACCGACCATGTGTACACAGGTGCAAGGCTTCCCCTCTCTGGGCCCGTCTCCTTGTCTGTAAAATCGGGACAATTGTCCCTCCCACCGGTTAAGGGTCGTGAATAAAAAGCATGCCTCAGGGTGCATGGCAGTAACTGGGCAACCCCAGCGGAGCATGGGGGTGGGGACCCTGGAGCACAGGAGGGCGGATCTAAGGGCCGGAAAGACTGGAATGGGCCCTACATGGGCCTCAGGGGGCCAGCAGACCAAGGCCGGAGGTGCTGGAACCCCTACATCCCGCCTGCAGGCAGTCAGTACCATCTGCATCCCTGCTCAGCCCACCCTGGCCAAGCATCTGCTCTTGGGCCATGTCAGTCTGCTCACGGGGACCCAGACAAAGTCTGGCCTGTGGCTGCAGCCTCTGCAAGCCCCACAGGAAGTGTGCCTGTAAAAGTCCAGAGCAAGGGGGAGCTGAAAGGTGCAGGGGCGGGGGGTGGGGGGGGAGGCACACCTGAGCACGCCACAGAGGAGGAAACAGCATCAGAGAGGCCCCACAGCAAGACGGAGGCTGAGCTGCAGGAAGAGACCCACCCCCACCCCCCAGAGGAGAAGAGGACTGCTTTTTCTCACCTGCAAAAGGAAAATGCAGACACTGGGGTCAGGGGTAGGCAGCTGTACTTTTTCCTGCGGGAAAGTGAAGCAGACAGGACCACATCACCAATGGGTTCTCAAAAATGACACTTTGGGAAACTGGCCATTTGTGATGGAGGAAGACATCAAGAGACCAATAAACTAGGAAGAATACACGAAGAGATAAATCAGCGCTCTCAGACAGCTGGAAGTCAACCTGTGGGCCTGCAGACGAGTCGCTGCCCAGGGTCTGAGGGAGCCAGCCTGTCCCATTTGTCCATCCCCTAAACATCAGGGGCTATCTACAGAACACCATGCAGACTGCACCAGCATGTCAAAAGATGCAGCAACAAAGTGCACCGGGACAGGGTGACCACCAAGGAGCGTCCCACACTCAGGCCTGAAACTCAGGCACCTGTGGGCACAGCTATCTTCCTTCCTTGAGGGAAGGTTCCCAAGAGCCAGGCCGGTGTCCCACCCAGGTGTGGAGCCTGACCTTGAATGATGGCATCTGGGCAGCTGATGCAAGGCCAATGGGCCAAGCAAAATTTAGGGTGGAAATCTGAGACAATTCTACCTCCCCCCGCCTTTTTTTAGGGGGGGGGGGTGGGAGAAACAGGCCTATCACTTCATATGAGTAAGGGTGCTTCTCAAGTAAAAAAGCTCTGAGATGAAGATCTGTGTCTTAAGCACAAAGAGAGAATACTTAACAAGGAAATCTGGGTCTGATGGAAAGAGGGAGCCAGTCCCCGAGAACAGGGGCCACAACCGGAGCCTGAATTCCCCTGAAAGGAACGACACACATCCTCCCCGTGGACCTTTCCTTGTGATGCCCCTCTTTTTGCCCCCGTTCTTCATGTCTCTGTTCAAGGCCCACACCTCCTAAGAGAAACAGTACCTGCCTCCTGGCAGCTCTCACCTGAACTCTGTGACATTGACAATCACCACGCAGAGACACGCACAGCCTCTGAACGTCCTCTCGGAAGTCTGCCCCGCATCCCAACACACACACACACACACGCAATCAATCAGGTTTGACTCTCTCCCTGACCCTAGCGTGACACACGGGGCTCGACACCCAGTCGGAGAGCTCCTAAACAAGACCCTCTCGACTCCGCTGTTGTCAACAGGGGCGGCCACGAGCAGAGGTGCGGCGAGGGAACGAGCGCGGAAGTAAACAACGGCTGCAACCAACACCCCGGGCCGGGGAGGGGGCGGGAACGGTTCCCCCGGCAGGAGTCCCGAGCCTGTTGACCAGTGCTGGCCGCGCTCTTTTCCCGACCCCCACGCGCTTCACGCTCGCGACACCTCTAGGAGGGCAGGTCCTCTCATTGTTTAGGTTTTACACTCGCGAAAACGCAGGCTCAGAGGACCCGAGACCGGCACTGGGCTCTGGGGTGGGTGACCCCGGCTTAGAGGAACGTCGCTCACGAGTATACAGGGTGAGATGAGCGGGGAACGGGAAACCGGGGAAGCCCGGGCGCTGATGTCCAACCCGCGACGGGGAACCGAACTCGGAGCGGGCAGGTAGACATTACCTGCTGCAGGGGACACCGCTCCACCTTCGCCGGGCGCGCCCGGGCCCCGGGCCCCGCGGTGCCGGAAGTGGCAGTAGGGCCGCCGGCAGGGTCCCCCGGGCGCCCCAGCCCAGTAGGGGCAGTCGATGGCCCGGAAGAAGCCGGTGGAACGTAGCATGGTCCGTCCCGCGGCGGCGCCCCGGCCCGGAGCCGCCGGGCCCCCGGGCCCCCTCACTGGCGCCGCGGTCGCCGCCGCCCGCGCCTCACGGACCCCGCCGCCGCCGCCATCTTGCTCCGAGGTCCCCGGAGGCCCCCGGGATGCTGCCGCAAGGGACCCCGGGAGCGGCTGCCCGAAGTACGCCTGATCAGAAATGCCTGCTCCCGCGGGACCGAGACGGATCGCAGGCCCCTGGTCTGAGACAGATGGCCCCCAAGAGAGGGATAGAGGACACAGGCTGCCCTGTCTGAGGCCTCAGAGTGCCTCGCCGGCGCCTCCGGCGGGTCCTCTAGAGGCAGCAGCGCCATCTTGAGCCCCAGGCCCCTGCGGCGCCAGGGCTGTCCGAGGCGCGCCTGATTAAAAAAAAAAAAAAGCCCCTCACTGACCCGCTACGGCTTATTTGCATTCAATTTGCGTTTTATTAGCTTGTGTTCCTAAGGCGCCCTCTGCTGGTCTACTCGAGTTCTGCAAATGCATCTCAACCGCACCTGAGTTACCCAGTTTAGGCTCTGAAACTCAACTCCGCCCCGGTTGACTCGCAGTAAGTGCTTCATTTCTCCCACCTGGACACTTGCGGCAGTTAAATCTCCAGGTCCACCAGAGGAGACCTGTTCCGATTCATTCATTGATCTACCTAATATTTGAGCACCTACTGAATATCAAGGCCATGCCACAAAGTATTTTATCCAGTTACCAGATGATGGACATTTCAGTGGTTTCTGGTTTTTGTCTTTGGTGAATTGTGCTACTGTGAACATGCGTCTATATGTATCTGACCACAAGTTTTGTTTCAGTACTAGTTTTTCAAATGGTGTAAATATGCTTGTTGCCCGTTTAAAAAATTGTGGGAGGACTTCCCTGGCGGTCTAGTGGTTAAGACTGCGCTCTCAATGCAGAGGCATGGGTTTGATCCCTGGTCAGGGAACTAAGATCTCAAATGGCTGCGGGGTGCGGCCAGAAAAAAAAAAAATGGGGGACGTGTCGCAAGAAACTACAATTTCCAGGCTGTCCACCATCTGGCAATTACCAAGCGTCCCCCTGAGCAGGGGATAGCCTTCTTAGGTCACCTCCCACTTCTCCCAGCCCACTTCTCTCCCTAGCTCAGCCACCTGGCCCTGCAGACACAGAGGCTTGAGACCCCCTCACCCCCGGGGATCTCTCCATGCCTCTCCTCCACTGCCAAAAGTAGGGTGGGCTCCTGAACAAAGCAAATATCCTCACCCTGGTGGAGGTAGTGTCTACATGCGGACAGACAACAGGAAATCAGTAAGTGAGATATCACAGTACAAGGTAAAAAGTGCTATGGGGTAGGGGGAGTAGAACGGAGTAGGAAGCTCAGTCTCTCAGTTGTGTCCCCTTCTCCTCCTGCCTTCAATCTTTCCCAGCATCAGGATCTTTTCCACTGAGTCAGTTCTTCGAATCAGGTGGCCGAAGTATTGGAGTTTCAGCTTCAACATCAGTCCTTCCAATGAATATTCAGGACTGATTTCCTTTACGATTGAACAGAGTAGCGGGCTGGGGAAAGGGAGTGGTCCATGTAGTCCTATGGGAAAGGTGGGATTTGAGCAGTTCTGAAGGAGGGAACAACGCTGAGCAGACATCTGGTGGAAAGGCATTCCAGGCAGAGGGCACAGTACAGACAAAGGCCCAGGGGCAGGACTGCATCAAGCTTATCGGAGCAACCGCGGCCAGGAGGCCGGTGTTGGAGCAGAATGAGCGAGGGAGGAGGGGAGAGCAGGAAGGGGACCGGGCAGGTCATACAGGGCCTTGTGAGCCTTGGGGAAGACTTGGACTTTTACCCAAGGGAGGTGGTAGCCCTGAGGGCTGTGGGCAAAGGAAACCTGACTCAGGTGCTCACGGGCGCCCCCTCGTGGCTGTTATGGGCGGCTGTGGGTGCACCAATCAGGGAAGCCGGACTGGTTCAGGTGAGCCATGATGTGGGACCAGGTAGTGGCAAAAGAGAGGGGAGAAGTGAGTGGACTCTGGATACGTTTTGAAGGTAGAGCTCCAGGGAGATTTCCGGAGGTACTAGATGTGGATGATGAGCCAAAGCGGGGAGTCAAGGACGACCCCAAAGATTATGCATGCTTGGAAAGATGAATATGCAGTAGGGGAGGGGTAAGAACACACTGGGCCCGAAGTTGAGGGTGAGGCTGGCATGAACCAGGGGTTGTCTTTGCACAGGGGGACCTGAACCTGGGGAGGGGGTTTAGGGGTCCCCGAGATCACCTGTCAATGGAGCGTCTAGGAGGCAGAAATCCTCCTGGTTATTCCGGGACACGGGGAGTGCGTGCAAGAGAGATTTAAGGGGGTTCTGAGCTTGCAGACCTAGCATTCCAGGAACCCTGACGCAAAGGAGCAGAGAAACCTGCCAGAGCTGGAGTGGGACAGAGATCCGGGGAGGAGGGAGGGATATCTGCGGGCTTTCGGGCCATATTCCAGTAAGAAAGAGAGCAAGAGGGAAGGGGGTTCCAGAGGGTAAGACGAGGGCCACGTGTCTAGATTGGAGCGACCTTGGCAGCCCCAAAAGCAGGACCCTGGGGAGAGGAATTAACGGAGCCGGTGTTGCAATGCCGTGGGAGACCACCAGGTGGCGGGGCTGCCGCCTTCTCGAGGGCGGGAAGTAGCAAAACCTTTGGGGAATGTCTGCGCTGCGTGTCACCGCAGCCTCACTGTCCTTCCGGGCTCCAGAGATGGCTGGAACCTGGGGTGCACCTTTCCTAAGAAGGGGATCAGAACTCACCAATTTCCCAAGGCAACTTCCCCTCCCTTCCATTTGGGACCCGGCATATAGCAGGCATACAATACAGGAGCGACCAGACGACTGGACACAGGAGCCGGGCGGGGGTGCGGGGTACCCTTGGGAGGAGCCCTGTAGAGCAGTGGAGAGAAGTGCGGGCTCCCCGCGCCCGCGGCGCGGGAAAGAGGCGGGCAGCAGACGCCCCCGGACGCCGTGTCACCGGGCCTCAGTTGCCGGGTAACGGAGCGGGAAGGCGGGCCGGGGGCTCAGATGCCCGAGGTGTGGGTGTGGGTGCCGCTGGTCTGCAGCGTGGGCTGAAGAGGGCAGCCCCCTCCTCCGGCCTTAGGGCTAAGGGGCTTTACCAAGACTGCCAGCAAGTCCGCGGATTCACCAGCCCACTGGCTCAGTTCCCTCAAGACGAGGCTGAGGACCCTCACTGGCAAGGGGGACAGAGTGTCCCAGGAGGCCCACTGCCTTGGACCGGTGAAGGGAAAAACCACACAGGCTCCGGAATTGGGTTTAAAAAAGACTTATTTAATTAAATACCAGGATGAGGCCAGGCAGGACAGGGGGCAGGGAGTCACCTGAAAGCAAAGTTCCTTAGGGCCCTCCCCCTCCACCCACCTCTAGAGGCCAAAGTTAAATGGCTGGAACCAGGTCCCAGTGACCACCGGTCCCTTTAGGCCCCCGGACACTGGGGAGGGGCGGAGGGGCGGGTTCTCAGCTCCCTGGGTCCTCAGACCACAGTCCACCTCCTGTGGAAAAGCACCGGCCAGCGCCGGGACAATACGGGGAGGGGGCATCCAGACGGACACAAAGGGAAACAAGGTTAGGCCCGCCCCACCCCGGGCTAAGGCAAATCACCATGGCGCAGCCTCCCTCCCCGGGAACCTAGGGCGCTGCCCCTGGATCCTGCCAGGGCCGGTTTGGGTCCACACTAGTGCCATCCAAACGCCCTAGCCCCCTACTGGGAGACAGGAAGTTTCTGGAACAGGTTGGGAGAATGCCACAGATCTGCAGCCAAAGGCTATGGAATAGGCCTTTTCACGGTAAGGGACAGGGAGCCTGGGTCCCTTCCCATTCCAAGGCCGGGGTCTTCAGTCTCTGTCCAAAATGAAATCCTACCTCAGCCACAGTGGGAGGACCCCAGGAGGGGATGTGGCATTTACCCCTCCCCTACCTAAGTTTAGACCACGCAGATCCTCCCCCCACACCCACAACCCCTGAGGACAACAGACCACCCACAGGGGCCCAGATCAAGGAAGGGATTGGAGCCTGAAAAAATATTCTACCCGGTCCAAAAAAAAATCGATCTATACTTCCCACCCCCACGGGTGGGACCTCAACCGCGGGTCCAGGGGCCACCTGGTCACCACTGCCAGGGGGGGCAGGATGGAGCCAGGGCCCAGGGCCTCTTTGCCCCCATCCGCAGTGCTGGGAAGGGGTCCATTTGGCCCAAAGACTGTTCTGGTCCAAACAGGAGGGACTGATTGTCACATGATGCTGCTCAAGGCCAGTGTCGGGGACTCTTCCCCTGCAGGAGGGAGGCCAGCGATGGCACCAGCTTCTCCCAATCTCTCACTCACACACTCGCACACCCACCCAGCGAGAGGCAGTGCAGCCCCCACTCCAGCAGACAGAGGACAATAAATAAGCCTGCATTTACTCGTATCCCGTGATACCCCCCCCCCCGCAAATGAGTCTAATTGCTCTTTGGAAGAACCCCCATTTCTCTCCCTCCCTACCCCAAGTCTCAGAAGCAAAATCAGGACCCTTTGTAGAGACCCTACCACTTCCCCCACCCAGCCCCGGAGGCTGGGGAGCTGAGGGGCCCCTCCCTTGGGCAGTGGGCCAGAGCCTGTGGACACCTGAGATTGAGTACCCGAATGGGGGCGGCCAGGCCGCACCCTGTTTCCCTGAACATCTCCAATGGCTTTCGATGGGGTGAAGGGCTCCCGGGGCGGGGTATGGGGGGACAAGAGGCAGCCCACGTGGTAACCCCTAGTTCACCTATGGCTCTGCACACTTCATCCCAACCTGGAGAGAGGGGCCTGGGGGCCAGGTCTGAACGCTGGTTAGTGGGTGCCTTTCCTGGGGCACCTCCCCCCAAGGCCCACATGCCACCCAAAGCAGGGAAGTGGCAGGGAGAAGGGATGCCTTCTGGCCCCCCACCTAGGGTCCCTGTTCAACAGCTGGGAAGAGAGTTAACATCATGGCTATATACAGACACGGGGCCACGCTCCTCTGGAGAGCGACCTCCAAGGCCCAGATGACCCTGCTCCAGTCTCAGGCCCCCTCCTGGTTTTTTCGAGGGGGCAGGGGCAACTCGGGGGGGGGCCCTCAGGGGGACACTGGAAGGGGCCGGTCTGGCAGTCAGTCCAAGCCCCACCAGGGCCCGGGACAACAGGTGGGTTGCTGGTGCTCCATGCCCAGGCCCAGCGGGGGTGCACTCAGGGCGGCTGGAACAGGGCTCTACAGCCCGGCTGGGGCCGGGCTGGGCACTGGGCTGGGCGCAGGGCTGCCCGCCAGGCTGCAGGGCAGCGAGTCGCTGGGCGAGGTGCTGCGGGTGCTCTGGCGCCGGAGCAGTTCCGGGCGGAAGCCGGGGTGGCGGCGCGCGTGCTTGGTCAGGTGGTCGCTGCGGGTGAAGCGCTTGGAGCAGAGCGGGCAGGGGAAGCGCTTCTCGCCGGTGTGCGTCCGGTGGTGGCGGGCCAGCTCGTCAGAGCGTGCGAACTTCTTGTCGCATCCTGGCCAGTCGCAAGCGAAGGGGCGCTCACCTGCGTGGAGGACAGACAGTGGTCAGTGTGTGTGGGGAGAGAGCACCGTCCCATCAGATCTCAAAGGGTGCTGGTCATCTGTCTCACTCTCCCTCCCCCGCAAAACTCGTTCGAGAGGCTGAATTGTGGGTGTGAATTTAAAACGTGTAAATGTATAAAGAAAGTGACCCCAGCTCATTTTCCGAACCCTGTGAATATCCCCTCGTCTATTTCCTACGACTAATGGTAATTACTATCTTTCCCAGGTGGCGCCAGTGAAAGAATCCTCCTGCCAATGCAGAAGACAGTTCGATCCCTGGGTCGGGAAGATTCCCATGGAGAACATGGCAACCCACTCCAGTATACTTGCCTGAAGAATCCCATGGACAGAGGAGCCTAGTGGGCTACAGTCCATGGGGTCGCAAAGAGTCGACACGACTGAACCGACTGAACACAATGGTAATTAGACTGGGAGCAGCTGCCACGAGTTGAAAGGAAAACCTAGAGACTCGGTTCTCCCAGGCCTGTCCGCCTACCTCTACCCCCAAGACGGCGTCACCTCGGTGACATGTGTCTCCCAACGTACTTGCCACACACGTGCCCGCTCCGATCTTAAGGCAACAGTTCTGCTGTCCCCGCCTCCGCGAAACTCCCCTCTACCTTTCCTGTGGGGCATTCCGAGGGCTCCCAGGTGCTGGCGATCCCAGCTAAGCCCCTTCCTCTGGGAAATGATCACCAGGAGCGCAGGTGCCGGGCATCATCTGGGCGGTTTCCCGTGCCTCAGGCCACCACTGACCCTTGTGGCCCTCTATGAGCAGAGGAACATGTGAAGGGACACCCCCAAACCCGGGCCGCGCTAGCAGAGTGGGAAGGGTCAGAAGGCGCGGCGGGGACTGCCCCTGGGTCCTGGCGAGGGAAGGGGCGGAGCCCGAGGCAGCCCAGGACTTGTCCCGCCCCCACAGACCAGAAGGCTAGGGGAGGGGCGGGCCGCCACCGGCAACTTCCTCCGCAGACCCCTCCCACCGCCAGGCCGGCCTCGCCCATCCTGCCCCGGCGGCCGCCGCCATCCCCGCCCGCCTGTCCCTACCCGCCCATCCCATAGGGGTCTCCGCCCTACGACAGTGCCGCCCGATCCCCTCTCCTCAACCGTGTATCGTCAGCGTGTCCCCATCCGACTCGGGGGGACCCCCGCCACGCCCGTCCTGGGGGCAGTGAGCTCCCCAGAGTTTGCACCCTCCGGGACCCAGCGCGGGGTACCTAGGACCCTGGAACCCCCCATACGTTGTGTGCCCAATGCGCAGGGGTTTTGCGGGGTGTGTTGGGGGGAATAGATGCGGACGTGGGCAGGGTCTCCCCTCGCGGCATAGAATGGAACCCAGAAGAGGAAGGGGGGTTATGAGCAGAGGAACATGTGAAGGGACACCCCCAAACCCGGGCCGGTTTGGGGGACAAGAGGCGGGGAGCCAGAGTGGGGTAAGGGTAGGTTACACACTGGGAGGGCCACACCGGGCCCTGGGGACTTTGGTGACCCAGGCTGACCCTGCCTCAGAGAACACGCCCACCGCTGGGGGAGGTGGCGAGGGAGACAGACTTGAAGGGTGTTCTCTGCCGAGGATCAGAGAAGCGCCCTTATGGGGGAATACAGAGATGACCAGGAGCCAGGGGCAAGGGCCATGGGACAGAGCTGCAGCTGTGGGGGAGTGGGGGACGGCTGGAATCTCAGAGTGACCCAGTGACATCTCTGCTCAGGATGCAAGGCCTGCCTAGGGAGAAAGGCTAGGAGGGAGGAACCGCAGAGGGGCACCAGTAGACTTCATTCAGAGAGGCTCCTACTATCACCCGCGCCCAGGAGGCCCAGTAAAACCTCCCCTCCCCCATCCTTCCTCCTGCCCAGACTCGGGACACCCCCAGCACGGCACAAAAGGGTTCCAGTAGAAAACCCCCCCACAATATTTCTTGTGGGATACCTGTCGGTTATGCTCGCAGCTGGGGGAGGGCAGGCCCCAGGAGGCTGCGAACCCAGAAGTGCTTGTGCCACCTCCCTGGGGGAGGGGAGTTGCGGGCCACAATCGTGCTGCTGGGGGGAGAGCAACTGTCCCCAAGACCACAGGTGGCCCCAAATCACCGAGGCTGTCTCCCACCAGCACTCGCCTCCCCTGGAACAATCCAGAAGGCAAAGTCCGCAGCAGCTGGGGGAGGGGTCGGGGCGGGGACCTCCTCAACGGAATCACGGGGCTCACAACAGTGCAGGAAAGGACCCCCCCACCCCACTTGGAACCGACAGGTCCCGAGGGCCGAAGTCTGGGGGAGGAGGAGTCTGGCGATGGCGGCGGGGCTGCTGGCTTCCAAGCAGACAGTGGCGGGAGGGGGGGAGGGACGCCCCTCCGTGGGGCATGCGTCCCCGTCGCCATCTTGCAGGGCGCAGGCGGGGAGGAGCGGAGGGGCTGGGGGGGCAGGTGGTGCCAGTGGGGGTGGGGGAGGGCCCTCCCGCCCGGGTTGGCTCACTTCCCCATTTAGGGCAACCGGTCTGGTCCCGCCTCCCACCCTCCCTCCCTCCCTCCGCCCCGCAGCTCTCCTCCGCCACCACCGGCAGGCTGCGAGAGCGGTGCCGGGCCCGTAGGGGCTGAACGCACGCAGCTGCCGGGAACACAGCTGCCGCACGTAGCTCGGCGGTGGCAAGGAGAGCCGCAGGCCCAGCCGGCCCCGCTCACGTGGTACCGCTTCCGCCGGGGCCGGGGGTCGCCCCGCCGGCTGGACGCCTGCCAGCCCCGCCCCACGCCGGGTTGCCCAGGAGAGAGGCGCACGTGCACACGTGGGTGGCCGTCCCGGAGCGCAGGCTTCCCGCCCCCACAACGTTAGACGAATGCCTGCAGGATGCCATGTCCTGCCACCCTCTCAATCCACTGGCGGGGGTGGAAAAGGAGGTGGGGGTGGGAGTGTTGTAATATTCGGAGGCTCAGAGCCTGCCTGCACCTGGCCTGCCGCCTGTCTCCAGAGTCTACCTGGGCGCTGGAGAAGGATGCGGTGGGTGGGGCTGCGGTGGACTTGACCCTCTGACTTGGGCTGGGCTTTGGGGTGAACTCAGGACAGCCAGAAAATGAAGGCCAGGAGGTCCGGGCAACCGTGCGCCAGGCCTGGCTCAACCCGCTCCGCCTTTGAAGAGGGCGTGGGGTGGGGCTGGGAAGCCGGTAACCCACCTCCCCGGGCTGGGGGCCAAGGGTCCGACAGCTAACCTTCTCCGTGACCTCCGGAGGTCATCTCTAAGGAGGGGAAGGTGCAGCCCACAGCCAACCCTTGCAGAAATGCCCACCTGCCAGGTGGACTGCACGGGGGGCGGGGCTCAGGTAAGGCAGCATCCCAGGACAGCTGGAGAAGGCTGGGGCTGCAGTAGGTGGCAGGATTGCGGGCCGGAAGCAGGGAAGCTTTCCAAAGGAGATGGGGCTGAATAGGCCACAAAGAACCCAAAGGGCAGTACAGAGATGCAGCCAAAAGAATGGAAAATTGATGGTGAAGTCTGAAGAGCCAGGTGCGCTGGCCATCCTGAAGGCTTTTCCAAGGACCAGCAGGCATGAGGATCCACTCTATGATCTTAAATACCCCCCACATGTTAGCCCCCTTCCCCCAAACCCAAGACCTCCCACCTCCCTCCCTCCCAGTCCCCACTCCTCCTATAGGTTTTCCATTTCAATTGCTCTGCCAGTTGCACCAAAAGCTTATTAGGCAGAGATCTCCCAGGTTCTCACCTTCCCAGGTGGTACCTGGCAGCAGATCCCATCAGAGCCCCCTTCAAACAAAGTATCTCCAAACCTCCCTGTCTCCAGGCCCTAGCTCTGGCTTGGGCTGGTGCGGCCCCTCACTGGTGCCGGAGCCGCCTGCTCAGTGCTCTGCTCTTGGGCTCAGGGTCCAGGCTGAAGTCTTTACCGCAGCCTGGCTGCTCCTCACACCCCTGATTCCTGCTGCCTGGAACTGTGCCCCTTCCTCCATCCCATCTCTTCTCTACCCTTCAGAGCACACTCTCCTGGCGTACCCCCTCCACTGTCTGCGTTCTCAGCTTTCCTATGCTGGAGCTCAGTCTCTCCTGGATGTGATCTCTGCCCCCAGCCAACCCTAAAGCTGAGCGCACAAGCCTGGCCCCCCGAGGGTGCATGATACACATGTGCAGTCTACAGGGCCCTAGTAGACAGAATGATGCTGAAGTGGCTGGCTCCAGCAGCAACTAACCAGCAGCCAAGTGTGCTGGTGCATCATCTGGTTTACCCCCCAACCCCCAGGTAGGAGCCACTCCACCCACCCCCCCAGCCCTGTTTAGTTAAAAGGCAGGCCCCCTGCTGCCTCACACCCTGCCTCCCTCCCTGGGAACCCAGGCAGCCCTGGCTTTACCACACCCCCCACCCAAACTGGCATCTTCAGCGTGGGGGCTGGTGGTCCTCTCAGTGCCTAGGGCTGAGGGGTCACGGCCCCCTCAGGCCCCCAGAGCATGTGTGTTCTGGAGCCCTGCTCTTCTGGAAATAGGACTGGGGGAGGGTGGCTCCCTCCCTCTCTGAGAGGCCGGCTCCTCAGGCTGGTATCATGTGCCCACTCCCGGGCCATCTGGGCCACCTTTATCAGGGAGCCTGGGTGGGGGGTGGTTATCGCCCCCACAATGTTGGGGCACCCTCTCCACCCCCCAAAAATGTTGGGGCACCCTTCCCCAGCCCCCAGCTGGGGGTACAGGCACTGCAGGGCCAGTCCCAGCTGCTCACTGCATTACTGCCAAGAGGAGGGGGCTAGATGGGGAGGCAGTCCTGGGCACTTGCACCCCCCACCCCACCTCGGCACTGCCACACTCTGGCCCCCCAGATAAGCCAGTAGTCTCCTGAGCCCCACCTGCCCCTAGGAGCACTCATGGCTCTGCAAAGGGTAGAGGTGGGGTCTGCCTCCATACATAGCCCCCATGCCCGCTGCTGCCTCAGTTTCCCCATATGCCTCCCCTACTGGGGGCCTGTTCAGCAAAAAATACCCCCACCTGCACCCCCCACCCTCCTCGGTCAGCACACAGGGGTTCCCCTAGCCACCTCTTGTCCCCAGTGTCATGGGGCTTCTCTTTGCCTCCCACACCACAGCCCCGCTCCTCAACCCCTCTCCAGGACCCTAATCCCATCCTCATAAACGGATTTTCCTCTGCAAAGCCGGCCTAAGGCTTCCCCGCCCACTCCCACCCTGCCCTGAGGATTAACCAGACCGCTCACCTGCTCAGTCCCCTCCCCACCTTCCACCAGAGCCTCTAGCCTCCCAGTCCACCCCCAGGGTCCCTGCCCCCACCCCCTGCAGCCACGGTGCTGCCCTTCTCCTGAGACACGCCCTTCCAGGCTGCAGTCAACCCACAGCATCCACCCGAGAAGCTGCTTCCTCCAGGAAGACTTCTCCTCCATCACCACTGCTGTCACTGCCCCCAACAACATCCCAGGGGTCCCGGGGGACAGGGATCGGGTCATCCCCACGGTGTCCCTCTCACACACAATCAACGCTCAGCTACTCTTTCTCAGGCATAACCACACAGGGGTCTCAACAGGAGAGATCCCGCAAGCCCCAGGGGACACTGTGTGCTGTCTGAGAACATCTGTTATTGTCACAACTGAAGGTGCCCCAGATGGGGGCCAGGGAGGCTGCTCAACACCCTACAGTGGCCAGGATGCCGGACAGAGAATGACCTGGTCTAGGAGTGAGCAGTGCCAAAGACTAACCGTCCCCCCCACTCCAGATCTGAGCTCCTTGTGGGGAGGGGCCCTGAGCGCCCCAGGAGGTGCTGGGCATTGGGGGCTCTGGGGCAGGAAAACAGTAGGAGATGAGGGAGGTGGGGAGAGCAAGGAGTAGACTGCCAGCTCGCCTCCGCCCCCGCCCCACCTCCCTCCCTCTCCAACTCAGTATCCATGGCAACCGCGTCAACATCTCCTGCCTCTTCCAAGTCTTTCCCTGCCCCACGCGGGAAGCAGGGGAGCTCATTGTAGGCCAGGGACTGCAGGCCAGACCCAGGGGACTGGAGGCTAGCCATCCTTGCTCCCAGCTGCTCCCCAGGAGCTGTGTGGCCCCGAGGAAGACCCCATCACCCCTCCACATCTCCCCACCCCAACCCTCTGTGCCAAATGGAGCAGAGACGATGACGGCTCCTGCTGGGTCTGCTTGCTCATCTGTAAAATGGGGCCAGGCCAGGGAGTTCTGTCTACAGACAGAAGAGCTGCTGTCAGGCAGTGATGGGTGGGACAGGACCCCCTCCCAAAGACCCTTGGGGCACACTGGCTCCTGCAGCAGACAACCAGCATCTAATTAAGGCTGTTCATCAGATCTGTCCCCAGGTTTGCCCCTGGCAGTGGGCAACACCACTCTATCGTACAGATCTAAGACAGGCATGACTTCCCCACCCGTGGGGGCTGGAAAAGCAAAAGGCCTTGATACAGAGGCATTTGGTAAGGTAGAGTCTGGTGGGCCTGAGTGCCAGAAAGATGCCGCATTAGCCATCATTAAGCATGAAGGTACCCCAAAGTATCCAAAACTGGAACCAAGGGAGCCTGGGTGCAGGACTTTGACTCTCAGCATCCGGGTGCCCCCCAGTGCCCAGCATAGTTATTATCAAGGGAGCAAGGAATAGAGGAATGGCTCCCTGCCCTCCCCCACTCATCACTGGAACACCCCGACTTGGTCTCCTGGGTCTCAGTTTCTCTTTAAAGCCAGAAATGGCAACAATGACATACACACAGGCACTGGACAAGGAGTCCTTTCTCCTCCACGGGCGTAGGGGGCAGTCAACACTGCCTAGGGACTCACGGAGGTCCTTAAAACCCCAGCAAACCCTGGGAAAGTGTCCCTGGGGAGCCACAGTGGGAGGTGGCCTGCCCCCTCACTCTTCACCTGACCTAGAGAGCAGGACAGAGTGGGGGGAAAAAAACCAAGGCACCAGGGGGTCTGAGCCGCTTTCAGGGGTCACACCATCCGTGTCTCTGCCACAATTCCAGGGCCAGCCCCGCCTCGGCCCTCCACGTGTCCCTACAACGGGAGCATGTCCACCGAGCCATGTCTATGTGCCCTGTGGCCTGACGTGACCCATGTAAGAACCCTCAGGAGAAGGCGGTCAGAGGGCCCTTTATACAGACCAAAAACCCACCCAGAAGGGGAGGGAGGTCTAGTGCTAGAAAGTGGCAGAACGACCGAGTCCAAGCCCACACCCACCCAGCTTCCCTGCCCTTCCCAACCGAAGGATCACCTCCAATGCTCAAGCTCAGGCTGGTGACCACCATCCCCTGGCCTCCAGTCCAAGAAAAAATTCTCAGGGTTGAAGGTGGGACTTCATAGGGAGAAATGGGAGGAACCGCAAGAGGAAAAAGAGGGGGGTGCCTGAGTGAAAGGGTGGCCAGAGCCCCCTGCCGCCGGGCTGAGCTGTGAGACGTGACAGTATCGCCGAGCCCTCCTCCCCCCCCCCCCGCCCCCCCGCCCCCACGCCTCCTCGGCTCCCGGAGCAGGTGGGAGGGATGGGAAACGTGACGCCCTCAGGGATCCCCCTCCTCCTGAGGCTCAAGCCCTAACCCGCACTCCCAGCCTCGCCTTCCGCCTTATTAAAACACAGCAAAGGACAGAGAGAAAACGTGCCGGGCAACCCCCAACCTCGCCGAGCACCAGGCGCTCGGCCGCCCTCCGGGATGAATCCTCGCGGCCACCTTGGAGGCAGCGCCACGGTGCCTGCTGCCTTTCTACAGATAAGGAAACCAAGGCAGGAGAGGGGACGAGAACCTCAGAACTCAGCGCTTCGACCACGCTGCCCACCGCCCCGATCCGAAACCAACGGAAAACAAAAGAGAAACCAGGCCGAGGGCGAAGGAGACTACCCGGGAGCCCCGATCCCGCCGGCGGACCCCGCAGCAACGGGCAACCGGCGAGCTCTTGCGGCTGCCTCCGCGCCCGCCATCCGCTCGCCGCCCGACCGCGTGGCCGCCACGCCCCCCGCGCGCGCCCCACCCACCGAGGCCCCGCCCTCCCGGCCGGCGCGGCGGCTGCCCGGGCGCGCCCCCCTCCCCGCCCCCGACGCGCCACGCAGTTTCGGGGTCCCGGCGGGGGAGGGGGCGCGGGAGACCGCCCCCGCGCGGGTCCAGCTCGCGATCGGGCTCACCTGTGTGCGTCCGCAGGTGCGACTTGAGGTGGGAGGACTTGTAGTACGCCTTAGCGCAGCCCGGGAAGGGACAGCGGTGGCTCTTGGCGGCGGCGGGCGCGGCGCCGGGGGCGCGGCCAGAGGACGGGGACGAGGCGGCCGAAGAAGAGGAGGCGGGCGAGGCGCCCCCCGCAGCGGCGCTGGGCCCACCGCGCAGGTCGGCCAGGATGCTGGCGGCCAGCAGGTGGGGTGCGGCGGCGGCGGCGCCGGGGCCTGGGCCTAGGACAGCGGGGGCAGGCGGCGGCGGCCCAGGGGGTCCGGGCGGGGCGGCCTCGCGGCGCGGCGCGCGCACATCCAGGCCGGTGGCTGGGCCCGCGCCCTCGGGGCCCGGCCGCCCGCGGTGCACCACGGCACCCGAGGAGATGGCCATGAGCACGTCGGCGGCGAAGTAATCCACGCACGCCACGGCTGCCGACATGCCAAGCAGGGGCGGGCGGCGCGGCCGAGCGGGCGGAGCGGAGGCGGCAGGAGCGGCGCCCGTCCGGCCGGTGGCGGCTGCTCAAGTGCGGGAGGAGGAGGAGGAGGCCGGCGCGCGCCGCCGCCGCCGCCGCCCGCGCTCTGCCCGCCCCGCCCCGCCTGACGCGCCCTGACGCACCGGAGCCCGCGGGGGCGGCCGTGGCCCGCCCCGCCCGGAGGACGCCCCCTCGGGGCGCGCTGCCACGCCCCCCGCCCGGCGCGCCCTCCACCACCCTTCCCTCCGCGCAAGGCCTCCGGGGGCGGAGCCCGGGCCGAAGGAACCGCCCCCTGTCGCGCCCACTCTGGCTCCGCAGTACGCCCCCCCACCCCTCCCCGAGCGCGCCTTCCCCACGCTGGGCAGCAGGCTGAGGAGCCAGCCCGCTCTGGCGGGCCTTTCCCTCAATAGCTCCCTCCGGTCCGCTCCCAGAGCACCCCCTCCTCACGCCAGGAAGCTCCGCCACATCCCTGGTAGGGTCCCGCCTCCGGAGCGAATCCCGCCCCATCCCGGCACGCCCCTCCTTCCTTGGGTGGGTCCGCCCCCTAGGGCGAGCCCTTCCCTGCTCGGCGCGCGCCCCGCCTCCTCGCGGGCTCGCCCACCGCGCGCTAAGGCGCGCGGCCGGCGGGGTCCCGCCCCTTCCCCGGACGCTTCCACCCGGTCCAGGGCGCGCCCCAGGTCGGGATGGGGGAGGGGTCCGCTCCCCACGTGGCCCGGTGGGGGTGCGGAAGCGAGCAGCCCCGCCCCCCGGCCACGTGCGCGACCCTTCCCCCTCTCTTCTTCCCCAGCTTGTGGCCCTGCTGGACCGCGTGCCCTTGCGTTTCCTCGCCCTTTCTTATGGGGGGCCCCATCGCCTTTTTCGTAGACCCGTAGCTAGACTGGGGAGGGAGGAACTCCTCTCCTGGCTGTGTCGAGCGAGCTTGCGTTCGTTTCTCTTTTTGCGCCCCATTTGAGAGTTAGGAGGACCGGGGTCACAAAGGGCGGGCAGGGTTCGGGGTGCTTTGGGGAGAAAGAGTGGCCCAGCCTTGTCAGAATACGGGAGTCGGGAACTTCGCTCCCCGGCGCTGGCCTGGCATCTTTGGGGCGCGAACAGGGGAAGTGGGGCCTCGCCCCCGAGGACGTCCAGGCTAAACTGTTTAACTTCGTCGGTAACGCGGGAAAGCAGATGCCCGGGGTCCGCCTAACCCGCAGGTCTGAAGCAGCGGGCGGCGGAAGTGGGGCGATGGGGGTGGTCCCCTCCATTGCAGCCACGCCCCCGCCCCTTCCTAGGCTTGCCACGGGACGATGCAGCAGCCGAAGCGACCTCCAGGGGGCCTTCCGCCACGGGTTCGTCTTCTCAGTGACCCACCCAGGTCTGGGTGTGGACAGCAGCTGGGGACTCTGGCCCGACCCCCATCCTAGGGCAGTATTCTCACACCCTCTCCATCTGCAGCAACCCCTCTCCCTAGCCCTGTGGCTTATATAGCCTGGCTCAGACCCTTGTCCCCAGGCCTGTCGCTGTCCCTCGGGTCCATCTGGTTTAGGCCTGACCATCCTTGGTGGCGCCTTCCTCTCTGGGAGAGAGAGAGAGGCGTGCTGGAGCTTTGACTTCAGGCTGCAGTGACACTCACCCCCTTCCTCTAGCAGAGAAGCCCACTCAGGACAACCACTGTCCAGGTGAGCACCCACTGGGCAATGGGGGTCAGCATTCCTGCTGGCCTGTGCCTCCCATGCCTTTGAAATTCAAACAGGGTGGACCACCTGGGCAGGCATTCACCCACCCCATCTCCACAGCCCTCCAGGGCCTCAGCACCTCAGCCCACAGGTGGTTCCCAGGCCCTGAGCCCAGCCTCTCCCAGGTACAGGTAAGGCAGGAAGTGCTGTGCAGGCTGCTCCATGGGCCCCAGCTCACCCCAGCACATGGGGAATGAGCAGGACAAGAAGAAGGCAGGGACCCTTTGTCAGTTCCTTCCAGTGGTGTTTATTGGGCCCAGAGCAACATCACCCACTGTGGCCTTGCCCTCCAGAGGCCCAGAGTCTATGGCAAGGCAACTGGGACTCAAACCTGATGCGTGGAGGGGCTGTGGGAGTATCCCAGAGCTGGCTCCACCTGGGGCCTGCTGTTCAAGGGGGCACCCAGAGGAAAGTGGGGCAGTAACAGAGGGGGACCTTCTCCCCACAGGCAAGGTGGGGGTTGGACCATGTCAGAGCAGTGGTCAGCACTGCCATCCTGGCAGGCCTCGTGGCCCTGGACAAGCCTCAAACATGCACCCACTCCCAGGGGGAATCAGGGTCTTGGCGCTGTGGTTTTCATCTACCAGCCACTCTGCGGGCAGAAGACCCCAGCGGGGCCCACTCTCAACTCACAGTGTTTCTATTCACACCCTGAGCCCAGGGGAATGTGAGTGACCCGTGGAGCCTGATGACCCTCCTGACAGCATGCTCACTTCCACCTTAAGTTCTGTCACTCTGTCCTCACTACTACCCTTCAAGAGTTGTCAGCCCCATTTCATAGATGAAGTCAAGGCTGGGAGAGGATCCAGAAGTGGCCTGGAGCGGCTGCCTGCATGCAGAGCTAAGAGGCAGCGGAGCGTCTGTCCTGTCTGGGCAGCCACACAGTGGTCAGTCCTCTCTTTCTCCAGACCTCAGTTTACTGATCTATAAACAGGGGTCCATCTCCAGCCTTCCCTTCTGGAACCGAGGGGTTCACAGAGGTCTCTCACCAGACCACGGGGCCCACAGAACTACGCTGCACAGGGGCAGACAGAGGAAGTTACAGAAGGGGAGGAGAAGACAACATACAGGGGGTCCCTGACAGGTCAGGGTCAGAATCAAGGCTGCGATACAGATGTGTATGTGTGTGTCTGTATGTATAGACATGCTGGAAGGGCCATAGCTTTTTTTTTTTTTAACAGTGAAGTCTTTACTTTTTTTAATTGGGATACAGTTACTTTACAATGTTGTTAGTTTCTGCTGTACAAGGAAGTGAATCAGCCATATGTATACACATATCCCCTCCCTCTTGGGTCTCCCTCCCACCCAAGCCTTTGCTTTTCTCTATAGTTCAACCTTTTTATAATCCATGTGTATCTATTACTTCCATTTTGTTTTTGTTTTGATTTTTGGCTGTACCCCACAGCATGTGGGATCTTAGTTCATCAACCAGGGATCAAACCCGTGCCTAACCACTGGACCAGCAGGAAAGTCCCCCCAGAAATATATTTTTTTTTCCCCAGAAATATTCTTAAGGAAACAAGTATGTCTGTGTATGGCTGCACTGTTGTAATGGGAAAAAAGGAGAATGGACAGATGAACTTGAGTGTCGGTCACTGCATCACAGAGCACGTGGCCGTGGGGGCTCAGGACACAGACAGGCCCAGGACACAGTGAGCTCCAGCTCACTGGAAGTCACATGCCTCCTCACGCTGTGAACTCTTGGTGTTTCCACCTGTCTCGGCAGCCTGTTGGTGCACAGTGGCCTCTGCCTGCCTGTACACAGTGGTCACCTCCGCAGGAGCCAGGAGACACAAGAAAAGCAAGGGGACATGGCGAGGAATAGGGGTGGGGGGGTCCATCTTCTCAGAGCAGCACACTGGGCAGGCAGATGCACCCATTTCTGCCACCTGCCTGGCACCAGGTATGTGTGGGTGTGACCTTCAGCCTCTCCATGTGGGTCCTTCTTGTGGCTCTCAAAGGACCAAAGCCCCTATCCCTCCTAGAGATGAGGTTGCTGCACTTTGATGAGTGTTGTTTTTTTTTTAAGATTCACACCCATATTGCCTTGTCTGTAACCCATCCGTGTTTATTTCTAACATGTGTCCGATTATTCACTGCAGTCCAAGGGGTCGTCACACAAAGGAGGAGATACAGTGGGCCCCCTGGCCAGGCGTAGGCAGGCAGTGAGCATGTGGCTATCTTCCCCCACGGGAGGTGCCAGGCTCCTCTCCCAGCTGCAGGGAGAGACCCAGGGCCCCCATATCCCTTCTCTAGGAGGTGGGAGGGAATAGGATCTGGCTTGCAGGATCAGGGCTCCTTCTCATCCCCCACTCCTCGCTGGCCCGGGACCCTCCCTGAAAAGCATCCACCCCCAGAGTGCCTTTCAGATGGGCAGTTGCAGTGGGGATCACCCGTGGGTCTGGCCTCCCCGTGACCTTCTGATGGAGATGACAAGCCGTCTTCTGTAAGGCGGCAGGTCGGGTGGCACTCTGCTAGGTTTGGAGAGCACCCGGTCCAGCTCTTCCCAGCTGTGACCGTGACTGCAGCCAGGCCCGTCCACCTAGCCAGCACATGCTGTGGACATGGACGTGGCTCTGACTTGTGTCCCCGGCCCTGGTGTCTGGCAGCACAGAGCTCACTGTCTAGTTGGGGCATGCCTGTGTCCCGAGACCGTCTGAGCAGCAGAGTCCAGGCCTGAGCCATGAGCCATCTCCCCCAAAGTGGGGACAGCAACCCCAGCAGCCCAGTGTTATTGACGTGAAGAGCCCCTTGTTACACAGCAGGAGCTTCAAAACTTAAGAAAGGGGGAACCCGACATTAGGCTGGCACCCCCACCTCACGGGATTCCACAGTTAACAGGCTGGCCATGAACCAGACAGACATGTGCCTGACTGGGGGAACACACAGGCCTGAGATGGGGATGCAGGGGGCCTTGAGAGGTGGCACCCACCCCGAGGCCCCTGCTTGTCAACTACAGCCACCAGGGGCTGAGGACACTTAACTCCCCCCCACTCTTCTGGAATCTCTGAGGCCCCCAGTTCACATGGAGAACCAGAGGGGTGGGTCCCACCAGCTCAATGTAACTGACGGGTAGTCAGTGAAGCAGGGTCGCCAGAGGAAGGGAGGGGAAGATCCATGATTGGCCCTTGGGGGCTGGGACTCCAGGGCCCACAGGAAGTCCAGTAGGGGCTCCCCAGGGCGAGGAGCCTGTGCACAACCCAGATCTCACCCTTGAGAACCCCACAGCCCCTGGGCAGGCTGTATCCCCTGGGGTCTCTGGGTGTCAGGGCGTACTCAGGCCTCTAACAGAGAGCCTGCTTCTGGGACCCAGGGGCCAGGTGTCAAGTGGGGTGTGGCAGGCCAGGTGTCAAGGGGAGGACCTGAGGTTCTGGGGAGCCGTGGCACCTGCTGAGCAGGGGGAGAAGGCTGCCGCTTGTGAATACATGTGTCCTGGGAAATTCACAAAATGGAGAACCGAAAGTTGGCCCCTGTCCCAGGCGGCCTGGCCCATGGGCTGTACCAACTGAAAGGAAGAGGGGAGCATCCCGGAGGAAGGTACCACTGGCATCCCCCCCATCGAGGCCCCTTTATGGTTCCCCAGAGCCCACAGGCCAGGCCAGCCTGAGGAGCCCGTGGCCTTAGCTTATCCCTTCTGTTCATTGGGCAGGCATGCAGGGGAGGAGGGTGGTGGTAAAAGCAGGGGTGTGGGGTTCCTGACAAAAGCTGCTGCCTCAAAAAGGTCAGCACTGGGGTGCAGGGGAGGCCCTAAAGTCTTAAGTTTTCAGAACCCTTTCTAACAGAACTAGCATTACACAAAAGGTGTGCAAGCCATCAACTACTTCTTAGACAGTTTTCTCTTGACTTTCCTGAGGGGAGATGGGGCCTCTGGACACCCAGTAGAGAAGTCAGCAGGGTTCAAGCTAGCTGGGATGATAGGGTCTAGAAACAGGCCCCCAGGCATGGAGGATTCTCCTGTGGTCAAGGCTAAAAGGTGGGCTTTAGTCGGCAAAGAATGGCTTTTTGGGGACATGGAATTGGGGACATACGATCTGGGGAAAAGCAGTTTGGATTCTTATCTCACTCCTTCCCAGAAGTCAGTTCTAGAATTAGATCAAAAATTTAAACACATGTTTAAAAAACAAATTATTTACAGAAAAAAAAGTCAAAATGTTTTATAATCTTGGAGTAGGGAAGGTATCTCAGCATAATTTGAAATGCAGAAGCCATAATTGATAAATTAATGACTGATAATGATTTTAAATGCCTGGCAAAAAACACAAAAAAATCCGCATACAATCCAAGTCAAACCCAATGACAAGTTGGAAAAAAATACTTTTGTTTTCTTCATAGTGGAATAATTTCCTTAAATCTGTTCCTAACAAACAATAACGCCAAGAACTCAATAGAAAAGTGGACAAAGAATGTGAAATACAAATGACTTTTAAATCTACTGTTTAAAATAGTTTCCAGTTTCAAAATGACCATATTAGTGATAGAAATGATCAACATAAAAAAAAAATAAGTCTGACAGAACCACTGAGATGTTTGATTATATTTCTAGGAAAGACAAATGAAGCTACAATGAAATACTATTTTAAGAGATCATTTGCCCATTTACAGATCTATGGAAAGCCCTTCTGCAGTAAGGAATTCAGTTTCCAGAAATACCGGTACGTAGGAAGAGAAGTGTATGAGGATACTGGACCTAGCATTGCCTGTTACAGACTTGGGGAAAAAAACAAACTTCGACCAAAAAGTAACAGGATGAATAAATTACAGTGCTAATAAAATATAGTGCAGCCATTAGAAGGACTGAATCCAATCTATGTAGGGGTAACTGAACATTCTCAAAGCCACGATGACAACAGGATCACATATCTCTATAAACTCTGGCTACACATGCACTTTCTCTGTTGACACCTAAGAAACTGTCTGTGCCGGGGTGGACGGGAACACTGGGAGGTCAGAGGTGGGAAGAGCAGTGAGTTATCACCCAACACTCTTATACTCCGAAGTTTTTACTCTGTCCCTGAAAACATTTCTGTTCAGTCGTAAGCCGTCGCTTTGGACTTGCTGCACCGCGGAGCCCCAGCCCTCGGGTAACTTGCATTCGGATGGGGTGAAAAGCCGGCGGGCTCTGTGACGGGGCAGCAGCGGCGGTCAGTGGCAGCACAAGGCAGGAGGATCAGGGTAGGAGCTTGCGGAAGGAATACTGCAGCTGACGGCCGAAGAATCGGACGTGCTGGGAGGGATCGGTAAAGACCGGGCTACTTCGGTCACCAGGACCAGCCAGTAGAAAGGAGGCTTTGCTCCCGGGAGTAGACAGCCACGCTCAGTTTTGCTCCCAGACGTCCTGGATTATCAAACGGGAACCTAGATTCCCAGCGGGAGGGCCCGGGGACTCGGGAGGGACAAGCCTGGGTAAGGTCCTCGGTCGGGGACCGCAGGACCAGGGCTCCCGCCGGGCCGGTCTCGCGTGCCCGGGGCCACTCTCGGCTCTCCCAGCATCCCCGGCCCGAAGCCCAGTTGAGAGCACAGAAAGCGCTGACACACACTCGCCGGCGTCTGCCAGCCAGCTGGACGCGCCCCCACGGCCGGGACGGCGGCAAGGGCAGGGCCGGCCGCCGAGCCGCCGCCACTTACCCGCCAGGCCGTGGCCTCCACGCGCTCCACGCCCGCCACCATAGCCAACCGAGCACCACCCCACTTCCGCTTCCGCTCGGCCGCGCCCCTTGGCGTCATCTCCGCCCCCAGTCTGAGACACCGCCCCCTTTAAAGGGGCCACGAACCCCGAGGGGACGAGGCGGAAGCAGCGGTGGCTCCCGGCCTCGCCACTGCCTGGTGTCGGGCACACCGAGCTGCTGCCCGACTTCGGTGTGGACTACAGGTCGCCCGTCTCTGAAGCCTTCCACGCTCTAGAACGCCGCCCCTGGAGGTCGCTGGGGGCACCCCGGGGGCGGTGGTGAGCCGGGAGTTCTGCCAGGGTCCCGAAAGATCTAGGCCGTTCCTGTCTTTAAGGGCATCCCCCTCGGAGTAGTGAACTCAGATCAAGGTCTGGAGGTGTGCTGCGGGAGTGCTCCTCGTGACCCCATTCCTGGGGAGGCCACACGGGGCCTCGGACCTGCCACTGCCCTCCACTGGACCCAAGCGTGCAAGACTCTTCTTGGCCCTCTGCGCAGGGAGAGCTAACCCTAATCCTGCGATGTCTACCGCACGGGTACGGAAGGGTGCCTGTCTCGCTGAGGGTCCAGGGCAGTCCCAGCCTAAACACGCGGCGGCCACTCCCACCCCCAGGATTGTCTTGCGAACAGGGAGCCAACCACCCTCCCCAGGCGTGCCCTCGGAGCACGCAGGGTCCTGAATTCGAATGCTGTCGCCCCTCCATCACCACCTAGGAACCGACAGCCTCAAGGTCCGGAACTCTGACCTGGCATCTGCAGTTGTAAACTCCCCTGGGGAGGATGGGGACAAAGCCTGGTCCCGTCCCACCCCCCCCACCCCCCGTCTTGGGCTCGCTGAGCCCCATAAAAAGCCAAGAAAGGAAGAGGAACCTTAAAATTTTAAATCTTTAATTTCTGTTTTCACGTTTTTCCTTCGTTTTGCTTCCAAAAGGAAAGGAGCGCATAGCTCCGTCACCTGTACATTGTCCACGGCCCAGGGGCCAGGGCAGGTCCCGACCCCTGCCGGCCGGCTGCCTCTAGGGCGTGGGGCGCCCGGGGGTTCACATGCAGCCCCCGGGGCCGGGGCAGGGTCCGGGCGCCGCCTTATTGCTGAGGTCCCGGCGCGGCTCGGGCCGGCCACTAGGCTAGGCGCGCTGGCTGGGCAGCTCCTGGGAGATGAAGCGGCGGAGGCGCTCCAGATACTGGCTGTAGAGCTCGATGTCGTTGTGCCCGGCGCCCTCCACCCACAGAGGCTCCACGGCCTTGGGGCAGCGCTCGTAGAGCGCCAGCCCGTGAGAGAAGTCGATCACCTCGTCCTCCGTGCCGTGGATGATGAGCACCGGCGACGTGATCTTGGACACCTTCTCGATGCTGCGGGGCAGTGCACATTAGGCCTCCTCGCCCCGCCCCGCCAAGGTCCCGCCCCACCACCAGTCCCCGCCCCTGCCCTGCCCCGCCCCACCCCGCGCTCACTTGGGGAACGCGTCAAAGCAGTAGGTCTTCTTGGTGTCGGGGAAGGCGACACGCATGCCCGAGGTGAGCGGCGAGTGCAGCACCACCGCAGCGCACTCGTAGCGCGAGGCCAGGTCCACGGTGGGCACCGTGCCGATGCTCTGCCCGTACAGGACGATGCTGTCCGGGCTGATGCCGTACCTGGCGGCGGTAGGGGCAGGATCAGCCGTGAAGCAACTCACACACCCCTCCCACTGCCTGCCCTCCATTTTCTGCGCAGGCTCCAGGAAATATGATAGGGACCTGGGATCCTCCCCTACCTGCCAGCACCGAGGGGGTTGGCTCAGCAGGGGAGGCAAGATCCTCAGGTGTGAGGAGAACTGATTGCCCGCAGCCCAGACCCTCAGTTTCGATAGTATCTACTTGGTCACACCTGGGCAGTACACCTGTGAAGGCCCTACCAGCGCTGTGGTTCCTGGAGGCAGGTCCCTGGGGCTTCTCCGGTCACCCGGCCCTCCCGACCCTTACACACACTAAGCCAGGGCCACATGCAGAACCTGCTTGGGGCCTTCCTGGTCCCACTGCAAGGGGGCGTGTCTTACAGTCACCCTCACCTACTCCCTTGGCCTTGGGGAATGAAGACAGTCCTGCCCAGTTATCTCAGCCAGTATGCAGCCCCTCGGGTGCTTAGTAAAATGTGGGTAAGCAGGAACAGTGGCCCCTGAGGGAAGTGAGTGGTTACTACCTCCTTCCTTGAGCACCTTTCCAACATAGTGGTCAGATCCTATGCCCCTTCCCCATCACTCCACACAGACCTCCCAGAGCACCACCTCAGCACAGTTCTTTCCTGACCACTCAAGGACCCACTCACCACCCTCCCAGTATAGGAGGTCTCCATGGCCTTCCCTCCACACTCTCCCAGCTGTGATCTCAAAGGGGGTGCCCCTCTTCCAAGTGGCCAGGGCACTCGGGCACCCAGGGATCATTAGCACCTGTCCCTGCCCTCTGGCCCCCAACCCTAGGCCTTGGGGATGCCACCCAACCTTGTGCCAACCCCCCTTGGCCACTCCACCTCAGCCTGCTCCCTGGTTTGCCAGGAGTACCGCTGTGCTGAGCACCAGCCCGGTCCTATCACCCAGCTCCGGGGAGGACTCTCAGCTGCACCTGGCTGTCTCCACCTAGACAAACGCAGCAGGTGCTGGATTCCACAGCTTTTCCAACCCTTCCCCGCCCTGCACCACCGCTTGGGCCCACGCCTCCCGCCCTCCTAATGATTCTCAATTGTTGGGGCTGAGGAACAAGGTTGCTGGAGGTCAATACTGGCAGCAGGACAGATGGACGGATGACAGAGCTCAGAAACCTCACCCTTCGGGAGGGCGTGATTTTCTACTAGCAACCCCCAGCCAGCGGGGACAGGATGAGGCAGCTGAGTGTGGAACACCTGCACCAGGTCACCCAGCATGAGTCCCCAGTACCACAGAGGTGCCAGGGGACCCTACTCCCAGGGCCTGCATCAAGCACTCCTGGTGCATCACTACAGCAACCAGGGCCCCGTCTCCCCAGGGCAGGCTGGCTGTGGGCCCTACAGGAGCTGGTCGCACCAGTTGGCTAGGCAGGGCCAAGGTCGGGCCGCCCTGGGAAGGCAGAGGGCACCGTCTCCGGGAGGCTGGGGGTCAGATGCTCCCTCCAGGGCAGCATGGGGCACCAGGCCACAGGTTGTGTGTGCTGGCTCTGAGACTGAGCCACCGTGCTTCAGTGAGCAAGCATGGGGTGGAAGGGGCTGCCAGGACCTGGATGACAAGGGCGGTGGGCTCCAGGGGCAGAGGCGTAGACCAGACCACAGGGACCCTGTCTGAGTCAAGCCAGCAACTGTGCTGGGTACTGTGCCTAGGGACGCCCCAGCCTCTGCTAGCTGACCTCCCACAGGGGCTGTGCTGGGAACTAAGCTGTCTGACAACACCTCCAGGCCCAGAGACCCTCCCCAGAATGAAGCCAAGCTCCACAACAAGGGGCCTGGCCCCTCCCCACCCCTCAAGGGCTCCCTTAGGCATGGGGATCTCTGAGTCCTTTCACACCACCCTCACACAACACATCCCAGGCCCAGGAGAGGCCTGAGTCCTCTGCCTAACTCCTCCCTCCAGGCGGAGCCTCCGTTCCCATGGAGAGAACCCCAGGCCCTGTCCCTGCCCCTCCCAGACTGGGGCTCCCAGGAGATCATCACTCCAAGGAGGGCAGAGGGCCCCCATTCAGCCTCCCTGCACACCAAGCAGACAGAACTCGGGTCAGGCTTCACCCTGTGGCCCCCCACCTAGGCTTCTTCCCACGGGGTCCAGTCACTTATGAGGAGACGCGCACCCCTGCCCCCCCACTGCGACCTGGGCTCACCTGGTGCGCAGGGCCTGCCAGGCGGCGTCAATGTCAGCGTAGAGGTTCTTCTCAGAGGGTTTGCCCGAGCTCACGCCGTAACCAGAGTAGTCGTAGGAGAAGATGTTGCAGTTGATGCGTGTGCCCAGGCCGATGTAGAAGCTGCTCATCTGGCCCAGGTCCACTGCGTTGCCGTGCGAGAAGAGAACTGTGTACCTGGGGAGGTGGGGAAGCACAGGTCAGAGGGTGATGGAGGGAGGGGCCTGGCACCCTGCCAAAAGCAGCAGAGGATTGGTTCTGCTCACTGGGACTTAGGCCAGGATAGACAGTGAAGCCTCAGGCTCTCCATCATCCAGGGGACCACCCAGTGTGAGCCCGAGAAGCCACAGTGACCTTCACATAGATGGCTCTGGGTGGCAGCTGCCTCCCCCCGGAATCATTCCTGATGGAGAGACTCTGAGAGCCTAAGGATGGCGGTTCATTTCCCTGCTGCTCTGAACCTTCCTGGAGGATGAGACTGCAGGCGCTTTGACCACAGGGAGGAGGGCCAGCCCCTGTTCACTGCGGGGCGGCTCTTCCCTCCCCACGGGGAAGGACCAGGGCCCTTATCTCTGCCCAGGGTCCCACGCGGCCCTGCCAGACAATCTTGTGAGAGCAGGTGACCAGTCTGGATCCTGGTCAACAGGCTCCCAGAATCTTCTTCCTCCAGCACCACTGGGCCCCAGCCCAGCCCAGCCGAGAGGTAAAAGCCTGCCCTTTGGACCTGGCCTCCTCTGCGGGCAGAAGTGGCTGGAAGGCCCTACCTCTGTGCCACCCTGGGGCTTGGGGAGTCAGACCTGGCCCCAGTTGCCAGCCTGGTCTCAGGTCCACCACCCGAAAGCGGGTGCCGAGGCCTCACTGGGCGCTCAGGGCCCAGGACACTGACCCAGGGCCTGTGAACACTGATACCCAGAGGCAGGAGGCTCCCAGAGAGGGCCCCAGGAGGCCACACGTGGGAAGACCCCGAGCAGTTTCCCGGTGGCTGTGGGCAGGTCTCATCTGCGGCTCCTTGGCAGGAAGAGTCTCTGGGGAGTTCGCCCACCCAAATGGGCTTTCGCTGGCCCTGGCCCTCTGGTGGTCTCCATGGGCCACTATGAGAGGCTGAGCACAGAGCGTACCTGGGGCCCCCACCCCGGCTGGCCCCTCCACCACAGGGCTCGTGTCCACGCGGCTCACCTGGCACTAGGTACACAGCGCACGTACATGCAGGAGATGCGGTTGCCCCGGCTGCTCTTGGTCAGGAAGACCTCGATGGTGTCCAGCTCACGCTGGCTGTACTGGAAGTCAGCACGCTCCATCAGGTGGAGCTTCCAGCGCCCAGGGGTGCCAGCCAAGGCCCGCAGGTTCCCTGAGGGAGCAGCCCCGGCCCCACCAGGCCCGGGCTCAGGCTCAGGCACCAGCGAGTAGGTGGGCTCCGGAGGCAGGAAGGCGAGCTTAGCGGCAATGCGGCCGGGGCAGGGTGGGCAACAGAAGAGGCAGCAAAGCTCGGTCACTGACAGGCCGTTCATGGCGGGGGCCAGGTGCCGGGGCGGGCCTCACCCGGCAGGGGAGGACTAGGGGTGCTTGGAGACTCGGGCAGGGGACAGGGCGACCCCCGGCCACCGCCCCAGACAGGAGCCCCGTTAGGAGGCCGTGGCCCAGCCCCATCGCGGTCCAAGCTGAGCCCTCAGGAGCCTCGCAGCCTCGCGTGTCCGTGTGGCACAGAGGGAAAGCCTGTAGGAGGACAGCATGATGTGGGGTTCCCCCGGAGCTCCCATAGGTCCCAAGCCCTGGGCCTTCCCCTCTGCCCAATCTCCACAGCTCCACCCACTGCCCCACAGCCTGGCCTGGCCTGCCTTCCCTGGGGCACCAAGGCCTCCCAAGTGACCCTGGTGGGACCCAACCAGCCCCCTGCCTGCTACCACACTACCTCAGCCTGCAGGTGACTCTTGCCATTTAACCCCATTCATCAGTCCAGCCTCTGCCTGCAGGCCATGCTGGGTGATCAGCACCCTGCCTACCCAACTCTCCCCAATACTGCCCCTGCCCCAGGTCCAGGGAGACTGGTACCCCCAGACCTCTGTCCACAGAGCTGGCCCAGACCCTCCTCCACCCCCTCCCATCCACCACCCCCAAGTGACACAGCTCAGCCAAGGGAGGACAGACTGCTGACCACAGGGACCCGGGAGCATGCTCCCAGGGCCTGCGACGTCCGGAGACAGGAGCCCAGGCAGAGGAAATACAACAAACAAAGGCTCTGGGAACAAAAGCAGGATACATCTCCAGGCGGGAAAGGCCCAAGGAGCCAGGACAATGGCTCTCTCCTGTGCTTGGGGCCAGGCCCCAGTGGGGGTTGGGGTCCACAGAAGCCTGGGGCACCTTCCCCTGATCCGCTGGCTTAGGGTTCTATGGCCTCGGGGAAGTCACTTAGCCTCCCTGGGCCTCAGTTTACACTTCCTTCAGTACAGATACCACACAGGTCACAAACAGAGTAAATGAGATGAAGGGAAAGAGGTGGGACAGGCAGGGCTCAGGACAGGCACAGAATGTCCTGAACCCGATCTCGAGCAGACTACAGCTGAGCTGCTAAAGCAACTATACTCAAATTTGCACGGAGCTGCCAACAGAGAGGCTGGAAGAAAATACAGAGGTCTGAGAAAAACCTACTCGCTTACTACGTTGTCCTTACAGCCTGGAGCGAGGGAGGGACACATGTTCACAGCTCACTGCTGGCAGCAGAGCACCTAAGCCTATTCGGTTTCCCGGCCTGCGCATTTGAAAACCACTGGGCCAGGGCCACTCGGATGCAGAGCAGGTTGGTGCAGTCCAAGGCCCAGAAACACACCTGCCCCCTGCAGACCTGCGATCTGAGACTGGGGGCCACAGAAAGCTACGTCTCACAGTCACCTGGATCAGGGGCACACGAAGAGGTGTGGGAGAGGGAGGCAGGGACACAGATGGCCTCCAGGAGCCCCCAGACTCCCAGGTGGGATGCTTGTGTTACATGCAAGTATGTTCAGAGGGAAGAGTCTATCACATTGGTTCTCAGACCAAGGCAAATTTGCCCTCTGGGGACATGGGCCAACCACTGGAGAGACATCTATGGTTGTCATGACTTGGGGGGGGTTACTACTGGCATTGAGTGGGTGGAACCCAGGGATGCTGCTCAACACCTCACCGTGCCCAGGACACACTCCCCAGAGTGTCAATCAAACTGAGGCTGCTCCAACATATTCTCAGAGATGTCTGGGCCCCAATAGGTTGACATTTCACTGGTGCTTTGATGGCGCGGCGGGTCTGGAGTTTGGGCAGCAAGGCGAGGCTGGTTTAAGAGCAAGGCCTGGCTAAGAGCCAGTGGGCAGGTAGGAGGCCCCTGGAGACCCAAGGATGAACAGGCACCCCAAGATGGACAAGGGCCTGCTGACCAAGCCAGAAACCAGATGACATCCTTGACACCTCCCTGCACCCTCAGACCGGCCCATCACAGGGCTTGCTGACTGCCTCTCTCCCTCCCACCACCACCGGGGGCACACACAGTCTCCTTCCTCACTGGTTCCCCCCCACCGTTGACCACTGCCACCCTGTTCCACCCCATTCTGCCCCCTGCAGCCAAAAGATCTTTTGACAACACAAATCTACCAGCCACTGGGCTGTTCCAGGGGTCCCACTATTTTTATGATGGAGATCAAATCCCTCACCACCGTCTGCTGTGGCCGACCTCTCCAGCCTCCCTTGCTCATCACTAACCCACTCTTCCCCGATGAACCACACTGTCCTCTCCTGCCTCAGAGTTGCAGCCCCAGCAGTTCCCCTAATCGCACGGCCTGGGCTCCCTGTCCCATTCACCATTCACATCTTCTAGTGCCCTTCCAAACAGGTTAGTCCCTTCCCCACAGGCTCCAGCCTCCAGATCTGACTCCACAGCTTGTATGTATAAATTCAGCCTTCACCCCCCACCTCCAACCAAAGAGAAACTCCATGAGGGCAGGACCACCTCTGGTTCTCACTCAATCAACACTGTCCGAATGAATGGACAAAGGTCCCGGGGGAAAGGGGGGCTCTACAGCCTGCCATGCCTGACAGAGAGCAGATAGAATCTCTTCTCAGGCCTCCCAGACCTGCGACCTCCCGTGGTCTTACACAGATATCAACGAGGGTGCCAGATATCAATGAGAGTGTTGGGCCTCAAATGCAGCACACACCTAGATGCCTCACTCACTGGGCAGGCAGTCCCAGCACTCAAGAGCCCAGCAATTCTGTCCACAAGCACATATCCGGCACTGCGCTGCCAGGCCCAGTGTGGGCTGCTGGTATCATGAGAACCAACAAGGAATCAGGCAGTTACAAATCTCCAAGACGACCTAAATATGGACAACTGTGACCGCACCTCTCCCAGTCAGTCTGAAAGGCGCCTGCAAAGTGCCTGGTGACAGGGACCAGGACAGCGGGGAAAGGACAGTCAAACCCCAGAGGTGACAGCGGGTTCCAGGAACTAGGGATCCTGGACTAGACGGACACTGGGAGGAATAGTGAGCAGAGGGGTCCTGAAGAGAGCTAGGTCAGGCCCCGCCCGTGAATCCTGCTACAGAATTTGGGGGAAATTCATCCTGGGGGAAACGGGGAGCCTAAGGAGTGGGGGTCTGGGGTGGAGCCCATGGGTTAGGGGTTGTGAATGGTGCCCTGGTAGCAGCCTGAAGATGGGACAGGAGCAGAGACTGGGAAGCCTGACCAGGTGTCCAAGCCGGACGCAGGACGCCCGTGAAAGGGCAAAGGTGTCTTGGAGACGTTTAGGAAGCAAGGCTCGGCTCCGGTTGCCGTGGCGGGCGGGGTTGTCAGGTTGGGGCATTTGTTCGGGGCCGGGGGTCAGAGTCCGCGGCTCGGACAGCGCACTCCTCGAAGGCGGGGCCGCGTCCCCGGGAGGGTGAGCGCGTATCCCACGTCGGAGGACTGAATGGACTGCGGACGGAGCTCTGCCAGAGTCGGAGACGCTGTCCCGCGGTCCCGGGCCCTGATCAGTGGTCCTCCACCCGGGAACGCGGCCGCCCCGGGAGTGCGGGGTCTCAGTGACGTCCGGCCGGACTGCCCCAGCCTCGCGGCCCGGCCCGGCTCTCCAAACGGCCGCGGGAGGCACTGAGACCGCTCAAAGCCGCCACGCCAGCCCCTGCTTGACACTCACCGCCGCGGCCCGCGCCCCCCGGCCCCGGGGCCGCGCTCCATGGCTCCCGGCCGCCCGCCCGTGCGTCCGTCAATCCCTCGGCGCCCCGGACCGGTCTCCTGCGCCGCCACCGCCGCCGCTCCCCCGCGGGCGGAAGTGAGCCTCACTCCCGCCACCGCCCCGGAAGTGACGTGAAGGTGTGCGTGGGGGCCGGAGGGGCAGGGGTTCAGGACCGGGAGCGGGCGCGGCGCGCGTCCGGGGGCGGGGTTAACTCTCATGATGGGCGGGGAATTTATGATGGGCGGGGCTATTGGGTGGGCAGGGGCCGAGCTTCAGGTTCCAATCAAGATTTCAGGGAGTGGAGACTCATAGCCGTTCACTTAATCCTTCTTTCATTCCAGGGCTAGTACTCTAGTGAGGAACTCTTCTGGTATCAAATTTTACAGGGTGCCAAAAAACTCAGTGGGGCTTCCCAGGTGGCGCTAGTGGTGAAGAACCTGCCTGCCAGTGCAAGAGATGTAAGAGACTAGAGTTTGATCCCTGGGGTCTGAAAGATCCCCTGGAGGAAGGCATGGCAACCCACTCCAGTCTTCTTACCTGGAGGACCCACGGACGGAGGAGTCTGGCGTGCTGCAGTCCATAGGGTCGCACAGAGTCGGACACGACTGAAGCGATTTAGCACAGAACAAAAACCTCAGTGGTCAACATAAGAACTCTTTTAATGCACTACTAAAAAAACATAAAGTTTGGGTGGAAGTAGGCCCCTGGTTGGGATGATTCAGCCTTTATTTCAAATCTTTATGTGTGGTTCATCATGGGTCCTTTTGCATCACTCTAAGCTCCCCCTCCCCACGCCCCCCAACTCCCAACCAACCACCCCCTCCCCCACCCCCACCCCCACCCCCGGTTCCATGGTGGCTCACTGGTAAAGCATATGCCTGCAATGTAGGTTTGATCCCTGAGTCGGGAAGATTCCCCTAGAGGAGGAAATAGCAACCCGCTGCAGTATTCTGGCCTAGAAAATCCCATGGACGGAGGAGCCTGGAGCTACAGTCCATGCGGTGGCAAAGAGTTGGAGGCAACTGAGCACACATGCACCTTAAGCGTTTTCATTGAGCATTAAAATATTAGGGTTTCCGACCCTCTCCCACTCAGCTCACGCTGCAAGCAGGGAGGCAGTGGCTGGTGACACAGCTGAAGGCAAAGCAGATGGACAAGAATGAGGCTTGGGAACAAAGTGGCAGTGTGGCTGAAAGTAACCTGGGTGGTCAGGGCAGGCCTTTCCGAGGAGTGATTGGGAGGAAGACAAAAAAACTGCAAAGGCTGACAGTGCCTAGCCAAAGCAGGACAGCGAATTAGTGGGACAGCCTTGGC